CTTTTTTTCGGCCTTACATTTTCATTGATTTCAAATGACTTCTTTTAGTCAGTCCAAGGCTTTTCTCATTTTTGGGTCCCACATATAAAACGTTAATCACCTGGCTCTGCAGAATTCAAGACATAAGACCATTTGTGTACTCCGAAAAGGACAACTATATGGAAATGTAGCAGGGATCTTTACAAAAAGGGACTGGTTTTGTGTGGCACAAGATACAATGTAGTCAAAAAGCAGATACCTGGACGTGGAAAGACATGGGAAGGAAACAGTCCAGTCTCACTAGTTGTCAGGGAAATGCAAAGTAAAGCAATGAGATAGCGTCTTATTCATTCACTGGTTAGAATGTGAAGGGTTACCGCCATCTGGTACTGGCAAGGATTTTGGAAATGGACATTGTTGAGTATTGAATGGCTTTACCTGTTTCATAAAATTAGCAGTAGCCTTTAAAATCGAAAATATAAGGCTGCCCAGGAATTATCCCGTCACGTAATATGAAAAATATTAACAATGGCTGGATACTTTCTGGATAGCCTTTGTATACATACCTTTTGACCTAGGAAAGTGCTTTTTGCAACCTAGTTGATTAAAATAAAAAGCACTAATGTACAAGGATATATGCAAAGACTGCTTTGTTTACTGTAGTGAAATGTGAAAGCAATTTGAATGTCTGATATGTAAGGAAATACTACATAGAGATAATGGTACTGAGATCAGGTGCAGTGGCTCACACCTGGAGTCCTAGCACTCTAGGAGGCCAGAGTGGGTGGATTGCTTTGAGCTCAGGAGTTCAAGACCACCCTGAGCAAGAGTGAGATCCCATCTCTACTAAAAATAGAAAAACTACCTAGGTGTTGTGGCAGGCACCTCCCAGCTACTGGGGGGCTGAGGCAAGAGATTTAGGTTGCTGTGACCTGTGATGATGCCATGGCACTCTACCTAGGGTATCAGAAAGACTGTCTCAAAAAATAAATGATGGTAGTGTATTTCTATATCTTGTTTCAAAAAAGAATGGCTAAGATTTATATATGTTAATATCAAAGGCTATCTATGATATTTTAAATGGAAAAGTAAAGTAATACATAAAGTATATTACCATAACATTGGCTACCTCAAGGGAGGTAAGGGAACATTGTTAACTTATAACAATGCATTGTTAGAATATTTGCATGATTTGGGTAGCTTTAAAAAGTAGAAATGAGTTCAGAAGTCATTTCCATAAAGTAGTCCTTTTAGAAATACACAAATGGTCAGAGTTCAGAAAGTTTTTATCTTTCTCTGACACTTTCGAGATAGCCTGTACCTCAATCTCCCAGCATGGAAATTCCATGGCCTTATGTCATTTGTTGTAGCATGGAACAACATGCTATGCTAAGGGTTTACTTTGTTTAATTTAAATCCTGCCTGTGGCCAAAATTTTCTCTCTATATATAGGTAATGTAGAAACAGTTGGTCCCATCTTTATATCAATTCTTTTTATAAATATTAATCGTGGGCCACACATTAAATACAAAAACACTAACAAAAGCTGATGACCCCAAAAAAAGTCTTTGTATAATTTTTGCAGGATCTCACACACCACCAATAAGCAAAACAGGCCTCAAGTAATCTGTTTGCAACCCCTGGGCTGCAGGTTGGACACCCCTGAAACTAATGGTCAATTGGCAGTGAGAAAAGAAACCAGGGTTTTTAGTATTCTTTGAATTGATCAAAGTCTAATCAATGAGAGAATTGTTTTATTGAATCCAGATGTGAGATGACCTGGCTTTGCTGCTTTTCAGCCCACTCTTAAACTCACTGCTAAATATTTATTTATCTTTAATTCAAAATCCTCAAAATGTTGAATGCAAAACCTTTTAAGAAGTGCTTAAATTCAAATTCACTTGTCCCTCGTAATTTATTCATAAAGCAAGGGTTTGTGTAAAATTCTACTGTAATCTACTGGAAAAATCTAAAATCTTGGTTTTCCTGAGTATTTTTCCCTGTGGTAGAACTAAGTTTTCCAAAGGGTATACTTAGGGATTAGTCTCTTCCTAAAAGAGGGGAGGGGTTGTTTATTTGTTTCTATTAACCTTCAGATATTAAATAACTTGGAGTGTGGGTAGATAGTATCAGTACCCATTGAGCCAGATTCCTGATTATTTTCATTTCCTTTATTTTTCCCCTTCATTAGGGTTTTATTTAGAGGCTAGAGTGTTATAAGAAGTGAGATGTAACATGGTGCTACATTCAGTTAGGTTCACACGGATCCTATCCTGTCCAGCCTTTCACAAACAGAAGGGGATGAAAAGAATATTAGAAGACCTGGTGGACCTATGTTTGTGCTTTAGTTTATGGAAATACTTTAAATTCTCAGCCCTGAAATAAATGCTAGCTTTCTGGACTAGGACAGGGACCAGGCTCAAGTGTCTCCCTTAAAGATCTGCACCTGTGTCCGTAATCTCAAAATGTATGTGAATACACATAGAAAAATGTATTCTTACTACGCTTATGTGCTAATGTCTTCTGAGAATTCATGCTCTATCAAAGGCTGGTGGATCAACTTAAATGGAGAGGAAGAATATGAACTGACTGAAAGTTTAGCTTCATTTTTTTTATAAAAATGGAATGCTCTGGTATCTGCAAGACTGCTGGTTAAGTGTCAGCACTGACGGATTCCCTGCAGATCTTTAGGCATTTTGACATTTTTATTTATGACTCAATCTGGATATTAGTAGGAAGCTTCTATCAGGAAAAGCCTTTAAAGCCAAAGTCATAATTTTCCTGTAGTCTTTTTGGCAAGTCTGCAGTGAGCAGACGGTAGTTTGTAGATACCGTCATTGCTACTCCCAGCTTAAAGTACGAAATGGTCACTGTTTGACAGGTTGGAAAATAGAAGACTGATTTTGTAAGTTTATATTTGCATGTTAGCAATATTTCTTGGTTTTGAGGCTTTTACATAGTACCAAAGCAAGATTGACTTCTTCCATCGTAGGAATAAAAATCTTAGAGCTACATGAGAATGATTTTGAGAAAATCTTTCACCTTGGTGTTCTGATGGCATGTGAAGATAATATTTTTCTTTTCCTCTAGCTGGTGTCATAGATGAAGATTATAGAGGAAATGTTGGTGTTGTACTATTTAATTTTGGCAAAGAAAAGTTTGAAGGTATGTTAAATATACATATTGACATAAATGTAGTGAATTTTCTGAGCGATGTATGTGTAAAAAACATTGACTCTTTAGATTCTTATTGAATAGGACAGGATATGGAGAATGCTTCAAGAAAGTATCAGTAATACACTGTTCTTTGTTTTCTTTCTTTGAAGTCAAGAAAGGTGATCGGATTGCACAGCTCATTTGTGAACGGATTTTTTACCCAGAAATAGAAGAAGTTCAAGTAAGTAACATAAAAGCTACATGGAGAGTAAGTGCTATAACACCTTGAGTGAAGAAAAAGCCGCATTTTGTGGGTTGCAGTGGCTCATGCCTAAAGTCCCAGGCAGGAAGACCGCTTGAGGCCACCGGAGTTTGAAACCAGCCCGGGCCACATAGCAAGAACCTATGACAAGGAAAAACAGTCTAGTTTGAGGATCTAATATGCTGTTCGTAACTAAATAGTGTATATGAGTAGACTGATTTTAAGCAACATTGAAATTTCAGTTTCATGATTTCTTTAGATTTTTTTATGTAGATAGTAGATAATTATTACTTTGGATAATAAGATATTTATACGGTGAGCTGCTAATATTTCCTTAGATTTAAAAAATACCCAATAATCTAATTTATGGAGCTTTTTTAGAATTTAATTTTCGTTTGTAATCCTCTTTTGAAAAAAAGTGATATATAGCAGGAATAAAAGTCACTAGGAGCTGGAGAGAAGAACCAAAAGGCTGTAAAACTAACTACAAGGCTTCCTGCCTTTTCCTGTCTTTCAGGTTTTGGATGACACTGAAAGGGGTTCAGGAGGTTTTGGTTCCACTGGAAAGAATTAAAATTTATGCCAAGAATAGAAAATGAAAAAAAAACTGTACCTTTTTTTTTTTTTTTAATAAAAGTTTTTGCTTAAATGTTTTGCATTTCTGTAAACTATATCTTTATCTTCAATAAAAATATTTTGTTTTCTTATGATAGAAACTTTGTTTTTTTTCTGTGATTGATAGTTGTATGTTAATCGGCTTTAATGGTGTCTAAATGCAAAGTGCTGTTTTTTTAGTCAAAGGCACACCAATTGCAGATATAAAACACCCCTGTATTTAATTCAATAAATGATACCCCTTCAACTTACTTTGCTTTAATTGCTTTAAATCATAACTGGTACTTTTTAGCCAATGAACTTAATTGTTTCACAGATACAAATTTTGCATATACTAGACTAATAGAAATAAAAAGCAGGGCAGCACCTGTGGCTCAGTGGGTAGGGTGCCAGCCCCATATACCATGGGTGGCGGGTTCAAACTTGGCCCCTGCCAAACTGCAACAAAAAAATAACTGAGCGTGTGGCCAGTGCCTATAGTCCCAGCTACTTGGGACGCTGAGGCAAGAGAATCGCTTAAGCCCAGGAGTTGGAGGTTGCTGTGAGCTGTGTGACAGCCACGGCACTCTACCAAGGGTGATAAAGTGAGACTCTGTCTCTACAAAAAAAAAAAAAAAAACAGAGGTTAAAGTTCTTTGTTCTTTTCACTAGTCCAAAAAAAATTGTTTTTAATAAATAATCTTAAGATTATTTATGAAGGTGAAAAGAATAGAATCTTGGGTTTGTTTTTTATTAATCTTTCTTTTGATAAATCCTAGGTTGACTGGGTAGAGCTATGTTTGTGAGTTATATATAACTTGGGAACTAGTTTGTTCCTCTGAATTTTATCCCCTCAGACAAACTATACAGTTGTGGTTATGTTTTCTATACTGAAGGAGCAATAATAGGCTATATACTAGGACCACTAAGTTTTTTCATCCCTAGTCTATAGCTTGAGTGGCATAAACAGCATTTCATTGCAGATAAGGGCTGCTTCAGTAGACTAGTTTGATTGACATTTATTGTAACTTTCTCCCAGCATGCTTTCCTTTTGTTGCCATGTTTTTTGGGCTCCTTTGTACCAGGGTTTTGGGTGTCACTTAGGTCTTGTCTATCAGTTGCACTGAGACTCACCAGGTGTGGTTTTGAGGATGTGGGCCATACAGATGGAGTGCTGAGCTGACGGCTCTGGGCTGCCTACCTAGAAGCATAGGCTAGAGTAGGTTTAAATCCTGGTCCTGTGTCCCTGCAACGTAATCATCTTATGTGTGGGTCTCAATCTGTGAGTCGTGAAATCACCTCAGTGGAACGTAGCATTTAAAAAAAATTGAATAGACAAAGGACAAAACATCACAAAGTTAAATACTGTGATGAATATAGGCATGTATATACTGTTTTATGATATAAATTATTGCTATAGTCAATAAAATTTTTGAAAGATCTTATGAACTAGCCAGAGTTGATTCTGTTCTGTACAACTGAATGTTGCCCAATATGTAGTAACAATGGAGTTCAAGAACAATTTGCTGTGATACCTGATTGGCCTTGTTTACTGCCACCTCTTGAAGTGTCAGTAAACAAGGCCTTTTGAGGCCCTTCTGAGGAAAGAGTGGACATTGTGGGTGTGGTCAGCCAGTAATGATTTAGCACCCACAGGCAGAAGGAAGAAAGCATTCATTGCCCAGGTTTGGGATTGGATCCTGAGATCATGGAATGGGGTCAAGAAGGAAATATGTGTGAAATCATTTTTAAAATGTTGTATTAACAATGCTATCAATGGAACCGGTCACTATGAAATTTACCAGGATGAGGAAAGTGACTCTTTAGAAGACATCAGTAGTGCAGACATAGAAATCAAAGACGATGATACCTCTGACACTGAGACATTGAATAGAAATTGAAGAAGATGATGCATCTGACGTTGACAGTGATGAAGAGCTCTGGGCCTTCTATGACATTTAACTGTTGTACAGTTGTTACTGCTACACAACATTTCTTGTACCTTCTATCTGTTCCTGTGTTTTGTAATTATGGCATAAAATTTCTTATAATATGTTTAAATGCTAAAATTCCTCTAGAGTACAAAAAACAAGTACCTAAATATAAACAAAAATTTGAATTAAAAAATTAAAATGAAGTATTTTTTTTCCTGAAAGTTTAGGACAAAACATGGGTACAGATTATACATGGCAAAGTACAGTATATGATTTTAAAACTATTTTAAAAGTCTTTCCTTCTTAGGAACTAAACATAACTAGGTTGGAAAGATTTTAAAAGATCCAGGATATCTTATAAAGAAAAAATCTAATAACTAGCAAACTAAGATTATAAAGAAAAGTTAAGATTAACAAATTACTAAATTGTGTCTTGGTTTGACCCTAACTTTTACAAATGGGTCTTACAGAGGAGTAAAGTAACCTCTGGACTGGGTGTGGTGGCTCATGCCTATATCCTAGTACTGTAGGAGGCTAATGCTGGGCCTGGTAGTATGAGGCTATATTCCCATATCTACTTTGGAGGCTGAAGCAGGAGGATCACTTGACCCCAGGAGTTTGAGGTTACAATGGGCTATGATGATATCACTGTACTCTAGCTGGGGTGATAAAGCAAACCTCTATCTAAAACAAGAAAAAAGGCCAGGCACAGTGGCTCACACCTGTAATTCTAGTACTCTGGGAGTCAAAGGTGGGTGGATTGACCTGAACTCAGAGATTCAAGACCAGCCTGAGCAGAGTGAGACCCTGTCTCTTAAAAAAAAAAAAAAAAAA